GTTAGGGAGTTAGTGGAATCTGATGTGTTATTTACAGGGTTTTTCTGCTTCTGACAGAGGACGAGACACAGGTGGAGCAGAGCAGCTAGCTTGCCATGGTCACAGCCTTGTCTGTGACAATCATGTGTGGTACTGTTTCTGGAGCACACTGAGAATTCAGCCAGGATGGAGAAATACCAGTTAGCAAGCATGATACATCACAGCGAGCTGAGCTACAGCATATCAGGTTAGGCGACCTTGGGAGTCCTGGCTTGACTTTACACTGCTGATCCAGACGGGGCCTGGCTGCCATTTCTCTGACTCTGGCTGCCAGCCGCTGTCAGGTCAGCACCAGAGCTGCGAGATCCCATTATCTGATACGGAGCAGGCCCTGCCTGCCATGAAGATACATTCAGCCATTTCATAAAACTGAATGTCACACAGGAGAAACTGCCTGCAATTGAAGGACAAGCCAGGGCCAAAGGGCCACAGAAAGGCCTACAGGCAGCCATAGAACATTCCTCACTGTCCACCCAGAGGCAGTGTTCCTAGTGGGTAAGACCTCTGGTGTCTTGGGACCAGGTCAAGGGAGTCTCTGGGTCCCACGAAGCAGCTCAGATTTTGTTTCCTGCACGGGGGACTCAAAGTGTCAGGGTTGGAGTAAATGTCTATGTGAGTGTGGTCCTGGCACTTGCCAGCTCAGACCATTGCTGTGTACCTAACACAGGAGCAATGCCCTGTGCATTGCTGTGTTTGAGTGTCAGACAGCAGACCCCTTCCCATGTGTCTCCAGCTCAGGGACTCTTAGGACTGCATCAAGCTGGTCTCAGGGACCACAGCCTGTCACAGTGCCATGGAGCTGGGGAACCTGCGTTCAGGTGCACTCCTGTGTCTAGGTGTCTCTTCATCACCTGGGACTCAGGACCATGGGGGTGCCCTTATGAAATGGCAGCTGAGTTATCCAGATTAAGAGAGAAGATCCAGGCAAAGAGGGAGAAGAGGGTCGCAGAGGGAAGGCAAGGAAAGGAAGGGGAGCTCACAGGAGCTGTAGAGCCTCTTGCTGTCTCTGAACACAGTCTCATCTACTGTGGTTGGCCACATGGTCTCACTCCCAGTGTGGTAAGGCCCTCACTGCAGTGATCATCGGGGGGATCCCAGAAAACTTCTTGGGGGATGACAGGAGGAATCTGTCTGATACCTTGGATCAATGGCCGAGCCAGGAAAGCAGAGAGGTGTGTGTGACTCCAGACTTCCTGCAGCAGGAAGAGGGCTGGGGCTAGGAGGCGGCACAGACATGCTGAGGTGGCCAGAGCTGCCCTTCAGCAACAGTGCCAGGTCTGGACCTCCTGGATCCCAGCAGCCTTGCTGGTGTGGATATCACACTCATGTCATCTGGATGAGTCCCCCGGAGAGGTCTGCAATGGCCCTTGAGGTGAGAAGGTACTGTTTGTAACATGGGGGCCTGCTTTGTGGGGTTTTTCCTTCTGCCCAGACCACTGAAGAAGCAAGATGTGACCTACCCTGCTGAAAAAGGTGCCGAGCCATGTGGCTAACATAGATAAAAATAATGGGTTAATATAAGCTACAAGAGCTAATAAGAAGCCTGAGCTAATGGGCCATTCAGTTATAACTAATGCAGAATCTCTGTGTAGGAGGTCCTTCTGTTTGTGTGTTGCTTTCATTGGTTGAATAAAGAGACTGCCTTGGCCTTTTGATAAGGCAGAACTTTGATAGGCAGAGTAGACAGAACAGGATGCTGGGAAGAAGGGGAGTGTGGCAGACTCCATGAATCTCCTGCCTGAGACAGACATAGGATAGAATCTTTACCCGTAAACCACAACCTAGTGGTGTTACACATATTGGTAGAAATGGATTAGATCCCATGCTTTTTCAGACCCAGGCCAGCTGGCCTTGGTGAGTTCCCGATAGAACATCCCCATTGTCTCGGTGTGTGATAAAACCAGACTTGCTGAACATAGTGGACAATGAGGACTACTGAGAACTCAAGAACAATGGCAATGGGTTTTTGATCCTACTGCACATACTGGCTTTGTGGGAGCCTAGGCAGTTTTTTGGATGCTCACCTTACTAGACCTGGATGGAGGTGGGTGGTCCTTGGACTTCCCACAGGGCAGGGAACCCTGATTGCTCTTTGGGCTGATGAGGGAGGGGGACTTAATTGGGGAAGGGGGAGGGAAATGGGAGGCAGTGGTGGGGAAGAGGCAGAAATCTTTAATAAATAAATAAATAAATAAATAAATAAATAAAAGAAATGGGTTAGATCAGGATGTGAGAGTTGGCCATGAAGAAGCTAGATATAATGGGCTAGACAGTAATTTAATTAATACAGTTTCTGTGTGGTTATTTTGGGGGTTAAGCTGTCTGGGTGGCGGGAAGCAGCCCACTCCCTCCTACTCCACTGTGAGATAAGAGGCTGTGGTGGATGTCCTTGAGGGGCTTCTGCTGGCCAGGGTCCTATCTTGCCTACATCTTGGCTTCCTCCTTGCTCTGACAACACTGGGGCTCCTGGGCTGGAGGTTCTCTGCTGTCACCCCCTTCCCAAGCGTTTTCACTGCCTACCTGACTTCAGCCTAGGCTTTGATGTTACCTTTTCAGGGGTTCCCTAACAGCACCCCATCCCTCCTCATGCTTTCATTTCTAGTTTGTGGAAGTCTATCTATTCTATTGTAAGTCTTCTCCTTGACCCGTCTAGGCTGCTAGGAGCAGACTCTGTGTTTCCTAGGCTGCCATGTACCTACCGCAGGAACAATGTCCTGTGCACTTGCTCGTGGTGCAAACAGTTGTAGCTTAGGAAGTTGGGGTTCCATCTGGCCCTGCCCCTGGATCTCAGCCTCCGAACAGGTGCTTCAGGAGATTGCAGTAGGATGGCCACAGGAGGCCTGGCAGCAAGCAACACTCAGATGACACAGGATTCCACTCACAGCCTTGCACCGATTTTGAGTCTTATAATTTCTGCCTCCCAGCTGGAGACAGCCCCAATGTCTCTAAATAATTTATCTAAGCCCCATCACCTAGAAGGCAGCCAGAATCAGAGCAGCGTCTCCTTCATGTTACAGTAGTCTGGTTTTAAAAGTTTTCTTCCTGTTGAATCTTAACATAGTGGTGCCTATCTAACTTGGGAGTTCGTTTTCTGGCTTCCATTCCCTCAGCTACACGCTAGGCTTTAGTACTTCATCTTCCAGCGTTTGCATCCAACAGTGAGCAAGAATAATTTGATCTTTTTTTCCTTTCTTCCTATTCTCTTTTTTCTCCTTCCCTTCTTTCCTTAAGTTTACTTTTTATCTATTTATATGTTTTGCCTGCCTATATGTTTGTGAACCAGGTGCATACCTGGTACCCACAGAGGCCAGAAGAAATTGTTAGATCTCCTGGAACTGAAGTGGCGGATGGTTGTGAGTTGACATGTGGGTGTTGGAAATCACACCCTAGTCTTCCTCTGGAAGAACGGCTAGTGATCTTAACCACTGAGGTCTCTCTCCAGCCCCTTTATCCTCTTCTTCCTCCTCTTCCCTTCCTCTTTCTCCTTCTTCTCTTCTCCTCCTTCCCATCCTCTCCTCAGCCTTGAACTTGTCATGTGGCTAAGATGTCATGTGTGAGTTACCATGCTCAGCCCCGTGCTATATGGATTTTACTTGATGTATTCAGGGCTTTCCGGGCATCAGATTTGGAGAGCAATGAGAATTTCAAACACATTTTGTTGAAGACATCACACAGTTTGGTTTCTGAACACAGAAAAAATAAAGCTGGGGCTGAGTCAGGAGCTTCCTTCTTGATGGCTAGCTTTTTTATAGTGCCAGAATGCAGACTGCTAGAGGAGAAAAGTCATCAGTAGTCTTCCCCAGGTGCAGACATTGCATGATTAGCAACCTGCCAGGCAAGATGTGCCCATGGGTGAAATAGCGCATGATTGCTATGGGGATGACCAACCACTTTCTGAGTGGATATGAGCCTGACTCCACTGGAGGGCGAATTCACGTACTGTGAACCCGGTCAAGAGTCATGACTGGGAAGGGCAGAGGTCCTGGTGGGAAGCTAGTGGTATGCAGCTAATGGATCTGCTGAGTGCCTCAAGTTGCCTTCTAAGTATTTATGATTATACCTGTAATTCAGTGCTACTTGAAGCTTTGTTCAGAGGAGTTTCTTTTGCAGTGGGCACCATAATGCCAAAGTACTGAAAAGAAGAGATTGTCATGTGCTCATCTTTAAATGGGACCTCTAAATCATCCACTCTAAGGTACAGGAACATTAAGATGCAAAGAAAGATTAGAAGAGCCAGAGGGTGGGGAAGGAGTGCTGGGAAATGCTGTCCCTGTGACAGGATGTGTCTGTCACCCTTAGGAACCCACAGCAGCTGTGGTCACCTGCACACAACTGGGCCAATCGACATTCTATCATGGATATGGAAGGGGTGTATGAAGTTCCACCCTCCCTGAGGAGGAGCTACTGACATTTCATGTGGCTGGAACATGAAGGAACATTTTCTTCAGTGGTATAGTCACCGCCCATAACTCTTCACCCATGGTCATGTAAACACCCTTAGTCAAATTCATTGGTTCACCCGCATGAAAGTAGAAGTGGGGGCTGCTTGAGAAAAGGAAGGGTTCAGAAGCAGTGGGAGAGGACAAGGAAGGGCAGCGGGGTGAATATGATCAAAACGTGTTTTATATGTACGTATGTATGAAAATGTCACGAGACCCACTATTCTGTAGGATCCATGCTCATAATGAAAAGCAAACTCCACCTTGCGTTAACAAAGCAAAACGGGCCAGGCATGGTGGTGCACACACTTAATCCCAGCATTTGGGAGCAGAGGCAAGTGGCTCTCTGAGTTCGAGGACAGCCTGCTGAGGTCCATAGTGAGTTCCAGGCCGGCCAGGGCTGCACTGCGAGACATCCTGCCTCCCACTCCAAAGAAAGAAAGCAAAAACCATGTCTTGAAGCCTATCCCACTTTCTAATGGGAGCCAGTGGAGGAAAGTAAGAAAAAAAAAAAAACCAACCTGAGTGGTAAAATAATGTTTTATTCCATGGATGACAAATGCTACCATGCCTCATCCCTGCGGCCCATCGACCTGTCCTTGCCGCCAGAGCTGGCTCCCCCTTTCAGACCTCCTGGGCTTTGCTGTCAGCTGAGCCTTTGAAGTAGTGAAAGCATGGTCTGTCTGTCTGTCTGTCTGTCTGTCAGCATGAGGTCCTTTCTCACCAGTGTGACACATCACCTGTGGAAAACCCAGGATGCAGCCCTTCCAACAGACCTAACAAGAATCAGTGCTTGCGTGGACGGAACCAAAACCCCCAAACATTAAAAAAAAAATAAACAAAACAAAAAATACCCAAAACCAAAACAAAAGACATGGACACATCTCTGAGGACAGGGTTTCAGGACACCCCAGCAGGAGTGGAAACTGGGGTGATTCATATTGACATACAGGTTGTCAAAAGTCCTGAAAGGAAACGATGACAATTGATATATTTCACTTCTGGACAGGCCAGATCAGCCAGAGAGGTGTCTGCATGCAAATTCAACACAAGGGTAGGCCTGGGAGGTGGAGGGGACTGCACAACGCCAGACACACATTTCTTGCTTTATATACAATGAAATGAAATATACACGGGTGACAGTGGTCACACATCTGGTCGGTAGTGTATCTTACAAGGCTACTGAGATGGGGTGGGGCTCACTGACTTCACTGTCAGAGCAGGAGGGAGGAGCCAGCCCCGGGCAGCTGGTGATGACCTGGTCTGGTTTATTACTCAGTAGACCTAAGAGTGGAACCAACATTCTGTCTTGTGATTTTTAACCTAATGTCACCCTGAAAGACCAGACAACTGATCAAGCAGGGAAAGAGTAGCAGTTTTAAGGACATATGGGATGGATGGTGGAGCCACAGGCGAGTCCCAGCTCCACTTAGGGGGAAGAAGGTTTGGACTGATGAACTTTTAGTGAGTGTTGCTGGGTGCTCTGAGTCCTTGGTGTCTGCAATACCTCCACCACGTCTAACAGAGACAGCAGGTGTTCCAGAATGATCTCTTTATCCAAACAAGTACGACATGGAAAGCAGAGCAAAGCAACAGAAGACAGAAAGAAAGAATACTCAGAGTGAGACAGTCCAGGGGCAGAGACAGCGGGGTGTCCAGTTAAAACCATAGAAAAATACAAAGTAATTCTACAAGGTTAACCACGGGCAGAGTTATAGTCTTACTTTGTACATAAAAGACCTGTTTTCTGGGTGCAGAGAGGGACAGTGGGGGCTCTTCTAATCACAGAAAGGGGCCAGGCATGTATGAACACTGCCGAGACAACCATGCTGTCCTGTTCCCATGGCACAGCTCTGTCAGACAGGAAGCCAGACAGGACTCACAGTCGAGAGCACAGATGCAGTGAGTGAATGCAGATGGCGGGTCTCAATGCTACAGAGAGAAAGCTTGGACGTAAGGGCTGGTTTTCTTGGGCTCAAAGTGTGCCCTCACTGTCATCTGTCCTTCACTTTGTCCCCTCGGGGGGAGGGGACATGGGATGGGCCAGTCATTGGGGGCCAGGAGGAGGCGATGCTGCTGAGGTGGGGTTGTTCCAGGCTATGTGGTTTCCACCGGAGCTTGTCGCTCCCACCAAATGGCCTTCGGTATCGAGACACATGCTATGGAACACCGGCACCCCCACTTCCACTGCCCTTGGAGGGAGGGTGGTGGCTGGGGGAGGGTTCCTCAGTTGCATATTGTTGTAGAAAGAGCCATGTCTGTGATTAGGTCTCAAGCAAGATTAGTCCTCCTCCTCGTCCTCTTTTGCTGTGGCTGTGGGTAGCTTGTCCTGGATCCTGAAGCATTCCACAAAGAAGTTGATGATGGAGCGGTACAGATGCTGCTGGAGGGCCACGCTGTGGAAGTAGTGGCTTTCATCTGGGTATATCTGTGAAGGGAGAAGAACGAGCTTACCCCTCGGCAGTTCACCTGCTGAAGGGACTCCTGGAGGCACGGAGGAGATGCAGTCTGGGAAAAGCCATGCTCCACACACTGAATTCCAGCTGGAGCACGGATCTCTTAGCCACAGGAGTCCCAGCAGCAGCACCCTTTCCTCTGGGGAGCTCTGTTTCTGTACCAGGCAGAAGGGCTCTTGCAGCCCTGGCAGGTCATGAAAAATTACCCATTTGCCCAGAACCTTCTCCCTTGGCATCTCTATTCCCTTCCCCAAGAAAGTGGATACAGTGAGGATTGGTTGAGTAAGTCGGAAACACCTCATTTAGCCGACCTTCTGGGCAGAGCTACTTGCTCTACTTTGCAGCCTGGGTACAAGGTCGGCCTGGAGGGATGGCTCAGCTGTTAAAGGCCAGGCTCACAACCGAAAATATAAGAACTACAAGGTCACAGGCCAAGGATTACACACACACACACACACACACACACACACGGGGTGGGGAGAGAGAAAGAGAGAGATAGAGAAAGACACATACACACACAGGGAGAGGGAGAAGGAGAGAGAGAGAGAGAGNGAGACACACAGAGAGAGGGAGAGGGAGAGAGAGAGAGAGAGAGAGAGAGAGAGAGAGAGAGAGAGAGAGAGAGAGAGACTGACTTTTGGCTGAGTGGTTCTCGAGGATGGGAATGAGCCCCAGGTAACCTCCTTTCTGAACCCATGCGTGCTGACTTGGTATACACTCATGCAGCTGCATCTTGGGTCCAGGTGATGTGGGAAGGAAAACTGAATAGAGTCTGGTTCATAATTGTTTCTTGTGAGAGCTGAATACTATAATACCCCAAGGCACTTGACAAGGCATGCGACAATGGAGGGCTGATAAACAGGCATGCCAGGTAGAGTGGGTCTTTAGTGGATGGCCAGCACAATGATATAACCTGTCTTCTAGAGGCACTGATCTGATCCTGCAAGCATGCACAACGAAAAGCCAAGTGTGATTTGGAATCTTACTCTTTGTATATCTGAGCCCAATCTCATATTGAGTCCTGTATTCTTTTCATGCTTTTGAGAGTAACATTATCTTTATTTTTCTTTAAGGACACCATTAGCCTGGAATATGTATGTTCAGCTCATAAGCTGCAAGAAGGCAATAAGGGGGTATGCCACCCCTCTTGCATTGACCCCTGTTCCTGTGCTCTCCCCTGGAGCTTGTCATGACTGCAGACTCTTGAGTGTCTGTGAGGGCAGCTGCTGTGTTGGCATGCATGGCCCCAGGCACAGGTGCCACGATGTGTGGAGCATACTTAACAAATCCAGAGTGTATCACACTCTGATGTGTAATGTAACCAAGCCATTCACCCCAGCCAATAACTTTCAGGCCAAAGCCCCTTCCTTCCTCAACCCACATACAGGGCTGCCAGAGGTCATTGGATGCTGAATGCAGAGGCAGACAGTGGTCAAAACCAGACAGACTCTCTGAGGGAGTTAGGGTGCCGTTTGCCCCTGAATTTAAAAGACAGTGAGGTTATAACTGTTTTATCAAAGGAGCCAGAGTACAAGAAGGAAACTAGAGAAGTTTCCAGCATCATTCCTGTATTCCTGTATGTTGCTGGGAAGAGGTAGGAGTGAATGCCAGTGAAGCCCGTCGTGGGTTTGGTTTCTGGGGTGGACAGTGTTTGATCACAGTCACAGAGGATAGAAGAGCTTTTGCCCAGAGAGTCAGAAAGTGAAGGCTTGATAGCCACCCATGCTGGAACACCAGCCCTCCCCATACCTACAACACACCAGGGCCTGCGTGTGTTGGCTTGGCCATCTCCTCTGCTTCGAAGTGGAATGTGGGGCAGGGTCGGGTGGAACGGTGGTGGCTTGGATACAGAGCTGAGCTGCTATCAGTTGAAGGGCACTGGCATGGTATGATGTGGACCCCACTCAGTCCTGTCCCTATGACAAGGGTCACCTTGCTCTAAGCACCTCGCAGGGAGCATCCCATACCTGTAGGCTGTAATTGGCCTTTCCTTTGATCAGCTGTGTGATGAGCTCAGCTGTGTGCTGGAAATGGATTTTTTCTGTAGAAGAAAACAGAAATAAACAGTTGCCCAAACTCACATCACCACCCAGGGGACCTTCAGCACCAGGAGGTTTGGGGGGAGGGGGGTGCTCTGTCCTCACCGTCAGCCGTGGCATGGATGATCAGGAACTGCTGGTCCTCCAGCGCGGACACTCGGTGTGCCAGCTTGGTCATCTGCGTGTATGGGGCAAGAGGACAGAGTTAGCTGCAGGGTATGGTTAGGGAGCAGGTGGGGGGTGGGGTCAAGGGAAATGGTGGAAAATGCCAGGCTCTGGAGAGCTGGGCTACTCGTGTCGTGGAAAAACAGCAATTCCCTTAGAGTAGGGGAAATAAGAGGGAAAGTGAAGGGGGGTTCTCGGAGAAGAGGTGGTCTTGGAGGGCCATTATGTCACCCAGCGACACTGAGCAGGCCTGTCCCTCTGTCCATGCAGAGTCCTATATGACGCTGTCTTTCTGCCTGTGCACGGCTGATAATGTGCTGTGTTTAACACTCTGAGACAACAGGATGTCTGGGATGTGGTAAGAAACACAGTTCATACTTCACCCTCCCAAAGGGGAACTGGCCTTGATGTGGGGAGCAGGGGCCCCCAACCACCAGCAGCACCCAGGGCTTTCTCATCTCTCTCCCTCCCCCATCAAAGCCAATCAGGAGGACAGAGGAGCTTACAGAGGCCACATTAATCCAGCTCAGTGCACTGAGATGATCCCAAGGTTGTGATGGTGGAGAGGCCCAGCCCTTTGGAAGGGAGAGTGGGTGGGGAAGAGAGGTGGGAGGATGGGGAAGAGTAGATGGATCAGTCTCACCTGGTTCCCTGTCTTGCCAAGTAGCAGCTATGCCAAACATACCTCATATGCTCTATTGTCGAGTCCATGGAGGCCAAGGTACCGCTCGGAAAATGCAGAGGCTGCACGGAGGCAAAGGGACGGGGTCATCTCTGGTCCTCAGGGGCTCCAATGGGGCAGAGCCCAGATGGAAGGGATGAGGCTGCAGGAGGGGACCATTCCCTGCTACTTGCATGGTAAATGCTAAGCTTTTGGTTGGTTTTCTGCTTTTGTTTTGAGACAAGGTCTCACTAAGTAGTTTTAGCAGGTCTGGAAACTGGATTGCCTCATACTCAGAGAGATCCATTTCCCTCTGTCTCCCAAGTACTGGGATTAAATGTATGCATCACCCACCATACTGGACTTAACTTTTTGGGATTTAAAAGCTGTCTCCTAAATCTCCTACCTCATGGCAAGGGGGTCAAACAGCGTGTGTGTGTGTGTGTGTGTGTGTGTGTGTGTGTGTGTGTGTTACGTTTAAATGCGTCATTCCTGGTGAATTTCTCTAAGCAGCTTAGATCCTGGTTCTGCATACCTGATATGTGCCAGGTGACAGAGAAGGGGGCAGTGCTTCCATAGCATTATTCTGCCTGGACAACCAGGGATGAGGGCTCACTTTGATGTCACAGGGCTTCTGGGGGTGACCTTTGTGAGTTACGGGAGGCAATGGAAGGAACTTGGTGGTTCATTAAGATACAGGTGGGTTGAGGAGCGCAGCAGGACAGGGCCTGCCTAGCATGTACGAGGTCCTGAGTCCTATACCCAGCTCTGAAAAAAAGGAGTGTGTGTATGTGTGTGTGTGTGTGGGGGGTTGGACTAATTTATGCATATTTGAATCAGGTGAATTTGGAATGACATGATTAAGAAATTAAGAGTCTCATTGAACAATCCAACACACAACACGTATATTCCCATGGGAAGGTTACTCTGGAGTTGGACCAGGAACATTCTAATGGCCAGGGCAAAGTCATTTGCATTAGAGCTGTGACACCCTGTGTCATGAGCTCCTCAGAGGCTGCTAGACCAGCACCCTCCCCAAGGCTATAGCCTTGCTGCCTGGGGCCTACAAATGCTAAAGAAGGGCACATGGACCTCTGGAGGGACAGGGAAGAGAGCAGTTCCCACAGCACTGCAGCAGACTTAAGACAAGAAGACCCTGATTCTTGTCATCACTTAATATGGGGTCTCCTGGGGCTCAGAGCCTGGTGCCCTGGAGCACTAAACAGAATGTGTGTTTTCAGCGCTACGTGCTATGTAGGACGTTGTGTTGAGTATCACCAAGCCACACACTGCCAGAGAAAGGGGTGGGTGACAAAGAGAGGACAGTTCAGGGCCTGGGACTCTAAAACTGTGTAGGGCAGGGACCATGTCTGCTTGGGCAGATGGCTCTCTCTCACCCTAGGGCATCTCAGGTCTGTTTGGACCCCACAACAAGTCATCCTGATGGCCCATCCCCCAGCTCTAGTCCCGCTCTGGGAAGCTTCACTCTGCACAAAGAAGTATGGCCAGGTGCCATACGTGGACCTGGATGGAGGCAGGCAGAGGAGCCCAGTTATTCAGACCCCCCATATCCCGGAGGTAGTAATAACCTCACCATCACCAGCGTGGTCTGTGTGAAAGCACCCGCCCCTCCTCCCTTCTTTCCCCTCTGTACTTGCCTGGCACACACATTCCTGCAGCAGAAGAAAGATGGCCTAGGCATTGCTCCCTGCCTCCTCCTCACCTGTAGGCACAGGCTTTTCTGAAGTCATTACTATGAGCTGGCCTTGGATTTCGGAGAGCAATCATTGCCTACTGGTGAACTGACCCACCTTCACTCCAAACAATGGCTAGAGACTTCCCTCCTGTCCCAGGGGGTCGCTATGCACTGGGGACGCTTGCTGTTGGGCACAGAGGCACTGAAGAGAAAGGTGGGGTCTCATCAAGGCCATTACCATAGAGTTTGAAGTCTGTTATTGGAGAGAGCGCCGAGCCGCAGGTGAAAGTCTGGCCTTGATTGTCTCCCTTGGCCGGGAGGATGTAAGTGCTCAGGTAACCACCATAATCCTAGGAGATATAGAAGGGAAAAAGAAGAGGCAAGGGGTGGGGTCACTTTCCACAACTCAGTAGGAAACTAGCCTCAGCCCCTAGTATGTATGTGTTCATGTAGTTTTTCAAAGATCTGAGCTTTAAATATCCCTGTTGGGCGATAGATGAGACACTAAATAGTTCCCCAGTTCTATGTTGTGTGACTCAGTCTCCCCCTCTTCAGCACCCAGTGCCCAGAGACCTGGGATAAGTATGCCTAGTGACACAGAGATAGTCTATGTGATCACAGAGACCATAACCTCTGCCTCGGATGGTGACAGAGGAAGGCTGGTGTCCAACTGGTGTCCAGCATTGCAGTCCAACCTCCCTTCCTCTTCCTCATCTACAGCCAGTGCCTGTCTCTGTGCATCCCACAGAAGCCAAAGCAGAGCTCAGTGACAGGGTGGAGAACAGGCCTTCACACCACCCAGCCCAGGGCTTCATGAAACTTGTATGTGTGTCCTGCAGGTAGGGTGAGCCCTTAGCACTCATGTGGCCTGACTGCTGGTGTGGGTCTCCTAGCTGAAGCCGTGCCCATCACTGTCTGGGACCTTCCAAGTGTTACAGTCTGCTGAGAAAAGTCAGGGGGGACAGGACAGATCCCCCAAGCATGAATGAGTTGAGAGAACTAGGCATAAATGGTGGATGCAGAAGGCATATGTGAGTAAGTGGGTATATGAGAGAGAGAGAGCGAGAGAGCGAGAGAGAGACAGAGACAGAGACAGAGAGAGAGGGAGATGGAGAGGGAGAGGAGGGAGAATGAGGGAGGGAGAGGTGAACATTTGTGAGCATATGTGTGTGTGTGTGTGACCATATAAGCAAAGGAACATAATAACATGCAGGTGTGTGTACTTACATGTATGGGCATACAGCTGAAAATACAGTTGTATGCATATGAATGAATATTCTGAGACTGTCTACTTGTGTGAACATGTGAGCCCATATGTGAATGCATATGTATGTGAATGCATATGTATGAATGTGTAAATGTTGATGTGGTATAAACACGTATGTGTGAAAGTGTATGTGAACATGTAGCTATATGAATGTGTATGTGTGTGTATGTGTGAGTACATGTGTGCATGCATGTATGTGCAAACCTGGGTGTGCCGACCATGGCAACATGGGGTGTGGAGAACCTTATAACTGATGAAGCCTGGGTGACAATCACATCATACCAAGTTCCCCATTGGTTTGATACTGTGTCTAGTTTGTTATATTATAATGTACTGTAGTAGTGTTTTTTTTTTTTTAATTTTGAGATAGGGTTTCGCAGTGTAGCCTTGGAACTCACTCTGTAATCCAGGCTAGCCTTGAACTCACAGACATCTGCCTGCCTCTGCCTCTTGAGTCCTTGGATTAAAGGTGTGCACCACTACCCAAATTCTTTAATTGAAGTCTTTCTTTCAGTTTTCTTTTCTTTACCCCTCCCTCCCTCCCTCCCTACCTCCCTCCCTCCCTCCCTTCCTCCCTCCTTCCCTCCCTCCTACCCTCCTTCCCTCCCTCCTACCCTCCTTCCCTCCCCTCCTTCCTCCTCATCTTTGTCCTCCTTATCCTTTGCAGACAAGACCTTACTGTTTAGCACAGGCTGACCCTGAACTCTCATCCTCATCTAAGACTCCTAAGTCTGGGGTTATAGGTGTGTACCATGGCACTCAACGCGTCATCTCCTAGGAAGCAGCATTGTCAGTGGATGATACATGTTTCTTCAAGCCATTCTGCATTTCTTTCAAGCATTTTTTCCTAGTGGATCTTCAGGATAGTTACACTTTGCATGGTGGCCTACAGTCTCTGGCCAGAGGTTTCAGGATACAGCTCATAGATGTCCTCTTGGGTGTGTGGAGCAGATACTGCTGCACAGGGTGCTCTGGCCTTAAATGCCCTCATTGTATGAGGAAGGGACACATGAGCCAGGCTGCATACAGAATCACATGTCTCATGAAACAAGAGCAAAGGTCACAGAATGCCAGAGTACTGAAACAGTTGATGGCACCAGGGGCCACTGAGATGGCTAAGTTGGTGAAGGCACTGGCTGCTATGCCTGAAAACCTGAGTTAATCTTGGGATCAACATGGTGGAAGGGAAGGAGCTACTTTTACAAGTTGTTCTCTTATCTCCTTAACTATGTCATAATGTGCGTGCATGTGTGCACGCATCCGCACATGTACACACACACAGAGGCATATGGTATAATAATACTAATAAAGAACTGACAGCCCATGTTGGGGACCCTGGGAAAGAAGGGAAGTGGATGATGTAGAATTTCCCTCTGTAGGCTGTGAATCTGTTATATTACCATTGGTTGATAAAGAAGCTGCTTTGGCCTATGTCAGGGTAGAATATAGCAAGGCAGGAAATCCAAGTAGACATAGAGGAGGAAGGAAGGCAGAGTCAGAGAGATGCCATGTAGCTGCTGAAGGAGAAAAATCCAAGAACCTTACCGGTAGGCCACAGCCTCATGGTGATACACAGATTAACAGAAATGGGTTAATTTAAAATATAAGAGCTATCTAGGAATACATGAGCCATTGGCTAAACAATGCTGTAATTAATACATTTTTTGTGTGATTATTCGGGTCTGGATGGCTGGGAAATGAAAAAACAGTTTCTGTTTACAAGTGGAGAACCCGAGTTGGATGCTCACAAAACTTCTGTTTAAGATACATTTAAACAGAGCCAAACAAAACTTAAACAGACCCGGGCTACTAAACAAAGTGTGAAGCCCCATTTGGCAGAACAGGAAAGCAAAGATCTGGCAAGTAACCCAAGCTGCTGCTTGCCTGGCTCTAGCCGTGGGGGAATGAAGACATCTGAAGGCGCATGGTCCCTCCCCACATGGCACACTTGACTGTGTAGCCCAGCTGGCCACACTCGGATAAAGCCCACTGACAATCGGATGACCCTGGCCCTGCTGTAGCCAGAGAAAGTAACACAGTCCCAGTGGGTATTACTGTCCGAGGCAAAGGAGGAAGGCCAGGCTAGTGCTCCTTCTAGATGGACATTGTTATATGTTTGGGGAGAGTGAAATTCATGAAGACCCCCTCACTTCTGCCACTGGGGTGCTGGGAAGTCAGGGGTGTGAGGGTTAGGGGTGCAGTGAGTACTGATGCCCAGTTAAGTTTATCAGTGATCTATGGCCCTGGGCTGCTCACAGGCAGGTGTCTAGAAACAAGCCCCAGGGTTATCTTGAGGCTCTGTTCTGCCTCTGAGGGGAGCCCACTGGCGACTTTCCCTGAGGCCTTGCCTCCACAGGCGCTCAGGTGGATTAAAGCTCGGATGAAGTGACTCCACAGGCTCACGTTTTGAACATGAGGCCCCTGCTGGTAGCACTGTTCTAGAAGACCAATGAACTTTTGGGACGTGGGCCTAGCTGGCAGGCATTGATTGGGCCCTCTTTAAATAATAAGGAATTTTGGAATACTAGCTCAGTCAAGATAATAAGGTCACAACCAACTCAACCCCTGGCCACAGTCCCTCTGCTTTCCCTGATTCCTGACCCCTTACCCTCAGAGAGGTAACGTAGACTCCCATGATCATGGCCACCATGCCTCCCTGATCATGGAACTAGGAGCCACGATAAATCCTTTCTCCCTCAAGTTGCTTTTTGTCAAGTATTAGGTGAGAGCCATGAACAGAAACAGGCTCTGTTCTGCTTGTTCTGGAGTCTCCCATATGACACCATCAGGTCCCCCAGTGTACACAGCTCACCAGTCTGTGGGGTATATTCTGGTGTTGACTGCAGGGCTCCTCTGAAGGGGTGGGGCTTCCACGAGGAAAGAGATGAGGCATGAGCTCTTGGCTTTCTGAGAATAAGGGCTCTCCAGTCTAGGTGGCCTGAGGAAGGGAGGGTGGCCTAGCACACTTTACAAGTAGCCCTTGGAAACCTAATTCCCATCCCTGGGCCTTCACTGCAGCCTGTATGGGCCAGCTGAGGCTATGCCATGAGCTGCCAGGTGGAAACTGCTCTGGTTTAGCCACAGGGAACCCACAGTCTTCCTTTCATCCTAGCAAAGGTGGGGAACACTGTGGTTGCACACAGGAAGTTGTCCACACCCTGGTTCCTGGTTCCTCTTCCTGGAGTGCCCATCAGAGCTCACCAGGCTCAACAAGGGAAGAAATTAGGAGCTCAGTGGAGTTCTCTGATGAGGGCCTGACCTGCTTTCTCTCCTTCTAGTTCATGTGACAAAGACCAATGATAGGCTCTCCTGCACTGCTGCAGTCACTAACCTCTCCGTTTCTCCTTTCTCTCCCTCCCCCAAGGCCGAAAGTGACCTCAGTGACTCAGAAGGAAGCTGACAGTGGGGAGACACAGTTCTAACCTCTAGGGTCCAGAGGCCCTGGCAGAAGACAGTATGACTCACCTTCCCAAACACGGCCACCCGTGTCTTGTCAATGTACTGCTCTTTCAGCATGGTCCTGCAGGCGAGGGAAGAGAATTGTGAGATCTAGGCAGGTGTCCTCTACAGCCCATAGTCCACAACCATGTTGACCAGCCTGAAGAATTTCTTTTTTTAAAAAAATATTTATTTATTTATTATGCATACAATATTCTGTCTGTGTGTATGTCTGCAGGCCAGAAGAGGGCACCAGACCTCATTACAGATGGCTGTGAGCCATCATGTGGTTGCTGGGAATTGAACTCAGGACCTTTGGAAGAGCAGGCAATGCTCTTAACCACTGAGCCATCTCCCCAGCCCAAGAATTTCTTCAAACTAAAAAGAATCCTGGGATTCTAAATGCAACTGCTTATTCCTTTTATCTATCTATCTATCTATCTATCTATCTATCTATCTATCTATCTATCTATCTATCTAGAACTCACTTTGTTCACATTCTGAATGCAACATACCCTAATGAGGCTTCTGGGGAACTTCTAGGTGCCCAGCTGAGCCTTAGAAGCAGCAGGGAGCCCCAGAGGCCCTGCCCATTTTGCCCCACCTCACACCTTCCCTTCTCTAGCAAGGTGCTGGTTTATGTGACCTTACAGGGGACTTTATATCCAGGGCTCCAGGGGTCTATGAGCAGGTGGAAGCATCCAGAGCCAGAGAACTTCAGGGAGTTAGCATGATGGACTGGCTTCCGTTTCCTCCTTCCACACTGAGAATCTGCCAAGTCTTACAGCCATTCCTGGGCTCTTGTTTTGTGAGCGCCTAGGGTTGAGACGGACATCACTAGAGCAAGTTTTTCTCTAGAGCAAGTTTGCTGTTGGTTTGGATTAGCTATAGAGACCACTCCTTGTTTATAAAGAATGGATGAAAACAGCCATCAGCTCTTTGTCCCTGAGCTCTGAGGAAGTGACTCTAGGGACTACAGGCTCACAGGTTGTCTCAAGGATTCATGATCCTTCTCTGGGGTTCTCTGTAACAGGGAGGAGACACTGTGCCTCAGTGGGACGAGTTAAACCAGATGAGATGAAGTAAGAGCTGGAGAAGTCAGGGAGGGAGACCAGGCTGGAGGGTAAGAGGCAAGGACAGTTCTCCCATGATGGCTCCTGGGAGCCTCCTCTAACCCCAGCCTGCTGAGACGTCTCCTCACTTTCCTTGGGAAGTCTGTCTTGTGTACTGTGGATCACTGACAGTCACCTGCTCCTCCTCCCTACAGACAGAAGCCAGTGTTCATTTGTCCCAGTCCTTCCTCTGATGGGAATTATCCTACAGCCAGAATCAGGGCCACCTGGTCTCCTGGAAAACCAGCTTCCTGTCTGATGATACAGCTGTTTGCTGCTGATGCTGAGCCTTTCACTCATTCCTAGGCTGTTTCTTGTTGGTGTTGGTTCTGGATCACGCAGGGTTAAGTCGGGAGATGAAATGAAGCTTACTCTGCAGCTTCAAGTCAAGGAGTTCTTTCTTCTTTCTGGAAGTGTCTTCTGTTGTCCTGACCAATTAGTAACGCTGAAAGACTGTGGAAGCTGATGTTATCATAGTCATGGCTACCCTAAGCTGAGAAAAGTCACTTAGAAAGAGGCTGTCCAGCTTGATGGTATAAATGGGCAGAGCCTGCATCTCGTTGACACTACTGGTCTTTGGAGCTCCAGTCCTGGGGTCCACCATCTCCGTGGACCTTCAGAGCCCTACAAGGTTCCTTGCCTTAAAGGCAAATACAAGTGTGTGTGTGTGTGTGTGTGTGTGTGTGTGTGTGTATGTGTGTGTGTGTGTTGCTGAGTTCTGTCAAAAGCGTCCTCACACACATGCCTTCCATGATGGTTGGGCTCTTGAGATGTTCCTGTCTGTGCCTTCTTATTTTGTGTGTATGGAGGCTTTGTCTGTGTATGACATGCATGTAATATCCTCACAGGTCATAACATGGCATTGGGTTCCCCAGAACTGGCTTTATGGAGACAATTCTGAACTACTAGCTACCATGAGGGTGCTGGGGATTGAACCTGGGTCTTCTGGAAGTGCAGCTACCGCTCTTAATCTCCGAGCCATCACTCCAGTCCCATGTGATTTCTGTCTGTAAGATGCATGGGATCTGAAGACATCGTCTTGTCTGTTTTGGTTGGCTCACACTCCCTGATGGGGCTTGCATCTGAACTCTTTCCCACAAGTTCATGTTCTGAGTCTTGAGCACTTGCTCCTTGGGTGGTGGGGCTGTGTGGGGAAACCATGGAACCTTTAGGAGGTGGGTACCAGCTGGCAGGAGTGAAGCAGCAGGGGCAGGCTTCTGAAGGTTGTCGTTCAGCCTCGATTCCAGTTTAGCTCTGTTTCCTGAGCAACCACCAGATGAAGATCAACCTGCACACACTCCCACTGCCAGAAACCCTGGCATGCCTCCCCTGCCACGACAGACTGTCTTCCCTGAAACTGTGAGCCAAGCAAACCTTTCCACTCTTGAGTTCTTTCCTCCGGCATTTTGATTGTAGTGACGTAAAGGCAGCTAATATTCCATGAAGAAGGTCCTTTGTGACCCATAAAAAAGATGTTTTTAGCCAGGCGGTGGTGGTGCACGCCTTTAATCCCAGCACTCGGGAGGCAGAGGCAGGCGGATCTCTGTGAGTTCGAGACCAGCCTGGTCTACAAAAGCTGGTTCCAGGACAGGCTCCAAAACCACAGAGAAACCTTATCTTGAAAAACCAAAAAAAAAAAAAAAAAAAAAAAGATGTTTTTAAAAAGCCAGTCAAGACTTCTCCTGGAAGCTTTGGAGCTTGGGGTGTGAAGTGTCGACCAGCTGCAGTCTCCAGCACACATGGGAACTCAGCCAGCCCCATACTCTCCTGTCATGCCTAGGCTTATGAACACACCAGCTAGGATGGCCTATGTCACATGGCTCTTTCTTGTCCTTCGAAGCCTGCAATTCTGCAGGGCCATGGGGACTGTTTTCACTTCATTCTCAGTGCACAGCCACATTCACAGTCCTGGGTGCTATAAACCCCAGCCCCCAGAGCGAGCCTGGAGGCCGTTAGATCCAGGTGGGTTCTTCATACTCCTTTAAAATTTTGGGGACATTGTAAAGCATGGTTTTGAGTACCTGATCCTTGGTACTGAGCTCCTTCTCTTCTTGGTGGCACTTGGTGGGGCTCACTGACTTGGCGGCAGCATGTGGAGAAGGTAAGAACTGAAAACAGGCTGCTGCTCAGAGTCCAGAGGGCATTTCTGTCCAGCTGCCCATATATTTACAGGGTCCTCTTTTATGTAGTGAGGAGACCCCTTGGCCTTGCCCCACCCCCACTCATATTCTCTCTCTGGTTTTCATCCCTCCCTCTCTCCCTCCCTCTCTCTCTTTCTGGAGATGACTGCACAGCCACCCACAGAAGCCATAGCATAGAGAAGCCAGGCAGACTGCAGTGGTATAAAATGTCCCCCATAGGCTCATGTGTCCCTAGCTGGTGGCATATTTTGGGAGGTTTTAGTAAGTAAAATTAGAGGAAGTGGGCCACTGGGAGGTGGGCCTTCAAGTTTATTGCCTAGCCACACTTCCCTCCTCTCTATTTCCTGACCCAGTGAGATTTGAGGACTCCCAGCCAAGGTTCCTGCTACCATGAACACTGTAGGATCTTCTCAAACTGTGAGCCTAGATAAAACTTTCCTCCTGGAAGAGCTGCTTGTGAGGGACTTGGCCACAGAGATAATAGAAGTGATTAATACATAGACCTGGCTCAGTCTTGGCCTCTGACCCTATGCTTAGATCAGTTCAATATGGAAGCCACCAAGCTGTGTGGAAGCCAGCACGGAAGGTTTCAGGAGAATCCTGCAGGCTGTCTCCCTGTCCACAGAGCTCTGTGAGGGCCAGCACAGGATGTGTATACAGGTGGCAGCAGCAGTGGCTGACATGTCCAAGGTGCAGCCCCTGCTGAGAGCATCCCCGAATCTTCCCTGCCCCACCCCTGTCCTCATGGTCGCTCACCTCACAGCTTCCATCTGGTCCTTCTCCTCCAGGAATCCCAGGCGCCTCCGTACTTCATGCAGGAGCTTGGTTCCCTGGAAGCCGCTTCCTCGGCCGTCACACTTGACGACCACTGCTCCATGGCTACTCACCAACACTGTTTCCCAGGTCACCGCAAACCTCTCTGACACACTCTGACTCCCTGGGGTACCATCCCTAGGAGAGAGAGGTCTTCAGCATGCTTCATTATGGCTGGGAACAACCCCATCTGAGAAGGTTTCTCCTGCGGGGTGTGTGTCTTTCCCTTTACTTGGTACCCTTTGCTCACTCCTTGCCTTGGGTTCTGCTGTCTAGGATGGGTGAGCCAGGTATCATTCACATACCCCCGAGAGATTCCTAAGGCAGCCCAGTCATCTCAAGAATGAGTGTGTGTGTGTGTGTGTGTGTGTGCGTGTGCGTGTGCACGTGCATGTGTATATAGGCCAGAGGTCAACTCTGCTGTTGTTCCTCAGGCACCATGTGACTTGTTTTGTGCTGTTGTAGTCTCTCACTGGCCTGGAACTCAACCATGTAGGCTAGGCTGGCCATGTCAGGGAGGCCCGGGGGCATTCCCGTTTGCTTCCCCAGTGCTGGGCTTACAGGATATGCAACCATGCCTGGCTTTTTAAAAGTATAATTTCTAGAGATAGAATGCAGGTCCTTGTATTGCGTGGCAAAAACTTTATGTCTCTTCTTGTGAGCATTTCCAACACGATGACACTCTTCCTGTCTGCTTGGGGCTTGACACACCTTGGTCTGCTCCCACCCCCTTGCCTGCCATTTGAGAGCCCAGGATGCGGGACTCCTCCAGTGGCTCGTTAACTTAGAAACCTTCTTTATGGTGGGGCTGGAAGAAACAGCACACAGCTGGAGCAGTGACTTTCCAGCTTGAAGAATGAGGTGCTTCTCTCCTAGAAGCAGGCATTCGCAGCTCTCACTGTGAGGAGGGTGGGGTGTTGTACTTGGCTCTTTCCTCCTCCATTGAAGACCCCAGGCTGTGGCTTCAAAAGCATGCCCAGTGGAAATGTCTACCATGGGAAATGGCCCGTGCTAAGGACAGGGCTGGACTCGGTGAAGACAGATACGGGCGAGTGGCTCTTGTGTCATTATCACACAGTTCCGTGCAGGGTTGTGTTGTGAGGACTGCATTGTTTGGCTGGGCTGTGGTATAAACATCAAGCTGAGCTATATGAAGATGTCACTAGATGATACAGTTTTATAGGACCATGGTCCCATATACTTGTCAAGGACAGCAATGTTCTCATAATCTCACACAGTGATAAGAAACACACCACCGGAACCTGGGTGCCCCACTGTGTTTCTACCTCTGTGGGGCAGATTCAGGCGTCACAGAAAGAATCCATCCTTTGCTGACCAACCAACCTATCTTTAGAACTAAACAAGCAGCATCATGTATCCGACTTCTCCCTTTAAGAGCTCACCATCCCCTTCCCCTGCACCGCTGGGTCCCAAGAAGGCACCCAGAGAAAGAAAGAGGCAGTCATACTTACACCACCAGCAATAAGGGGTAGTGGGTCGTGTCGGTGAAGGTGGCCGGCTTCAGGATCTGCATTGGCAAGTCTGGAGACAAGGGAAACACAGCCTGGTCAGGGGCAGCTGGCTAGGAGGTTGTCTTTGTCTGCATTTCTGTGGATGCCCTGGGGTGGGAAGGGAACTCCACACAGGGAGCTTTCACAACAACTGGGTGTGAGCCCTTGGGCAGGTCACTGGCTTTGTAACTCTGGTCTGAAGCACAAATGTCACCTTTTCACACAAGAAGTGTGTTAACTTCCTCAGGGCTCACAGGTACCTGCTGGTGGCAGAATTCCACACAGGGAGAGCCCTGGAGGCCTGGGTCGGCCAGGCACCAGAGACGGATAGGTTTATTTTTATTTTATGTGTATGGGGGTTTTGCACACACACACACACACACACACACACACACACACACACACACACACACACACACACACAGATGTGCCAGAGAACGGTGTTGGATCCTATAGAGCTAGAGTTACAGACTGTTAGGAGCTGCCATGTAGGTGCTGGGAATTAGACTTGGGTCTTCTGGAAGAGCAGTCAGTGCTTTTAACTGCTGAGCCAGCTCTCCGGCCCAAACAGGATATCTGCGAGCAGGTGTTCTGGAAGAGTGTGAGGTGAAGGGGTATGTTGGAGGGAGAGCTGTGCTGGATTGAGCGGGGAGGGGCACCTCTCTACCGTGACAAGTGACTTTGCAGGTTCATACCAGCAGGTCTGACTATCTGCTGGATCCTCAAGGACTGGACTCTAGAGAAGGAGCTGTAGTAGCTGTGCTGTTCTTGTGGCCACCAAGGTCACTGGGTTTGGTCATCAGTAGCATGAGATGGTGGGGGAGAGGGGAGTAATAATAACCAAGTCTCAGGAAATTATCCCACACCAGTTTCTTTGTTCAGTCCACCTCCAGAACAAGCCTCACTGCCCCAGCAGGAATTTGTTTATTGAGGGTAACTACAGCCCAGATTACCAAGGCCCAGCAATTAAATGGGAATTAGTGGCTTCCTAGTGCAGCAACTGCACCCCAGCCCTGGCAGCCTGCTCCCAGACAGCCTTTCATTACTGACTCAGCCTGACTGTTAATGGCTTGCAAATTGGATCCGTGGCTCAGGGACTGGCAGAGAGGCAGGCATTGCAGGGTATCACAGAGATAGCCACAAAACCTGGTGTGGTCACACCGGAGGTGGACCTTTGGAAGTCCACACTGAAGAAGCCTTTCTGCGCAACACTTACTTTCCCAAGAAGTCTTATCTGGCAGCGGAAATGAAAAACAAAACTGTAAACAGGTCTAGGGAAAGGGATCAATGTGGTTCAGACGTTTTGCTCCAAAAGGTGGCTTCCCCGTGCCAGGCCTTGGTGGACCTGGTGGTCCCTGGTACCCTCTCCTGCCACAGTGCTGGGGAGGCCTGGGAGCAGGGCTCAGTGCTATCGATGTTCCTACAGGCCCTTAGTGGCTTTCCTAAGGGAAGGTGATGATGTCAGTTTCCAGAATGTGAAGATACAATGACAGCCACAGGCGGAGCAAGGGAGGAAGGGGCTTCTGGAACTGCAAGGGAGAGGACACCTAGCAGGGAGACAAATCACACTGGGACCTGGCCACAAAAGCCTGGAGCGAGGACATGCTGCAGCAGGTCAGAGCGGCATGCTGGGGACAATATCCAGAGCATAGACACAGTTCTTGGCCAGAGTAGACCGTCTCAGTTGTGGGTGCAGTTTTTTAAATTCTTCTTCCTCCTGAGGCTACCTACCCCCTTCCTTGTCCCTTTCTCAGAGCTTCGACAAGAGGAAGTCTCTGGATTGGGGTGGGTTGGAGGGAACTGGACTCACAGTCTAGCCAGCTTCCATGTTCCTGACTCCAGAGGTGGATGGGGCTTCCTTACAGGACATCAGGGACAACACAAGCATTTCTGGAAGTAGTGTGATCTCACACGACTTGATGAGGGACCTGGGGTGTTTTGGTGAGTGGTCTGGGATGGACCACACGGGTTGTTGGTGAGCTGCTGGTGGCATCATGTCATGCTTGGGGTCTGGTAGGGGCAGAGTCCACAGGGGGCTCCCTAAACCATGTTTATTCTTGCCTAAGCTGTGCTCTGGATGATGCTGTTATGTCTATGTCAACCCAAAGCCCACTGAAGGGATCGTTTACAACCCCTGGTCCAGTGCATGCAACCTTCCTACACATTTTGGCTCAATCTCTGTTCTTTTCTGAACACCCACGTCACTTGCTTTCCATTGTAAATGAGTTGTCCTACTGTGTTCACTATGTGGTCATAATGTACCACTTGGGGTACTTGCTTCCTGCTCCTGGGAGTGTGCAGCCTGCAGGTGGCTGCATCTTGTCTAGGCTGCAGAACACAGGGCATACGTTAACAGTCCGGTATCACTGGCTCCACTGATGAGCCAGAGCAGATGCAGGTGTTGTAGAGACAACTCTACTTCTAGATGCCTGCAAGGTATATATAGTTCCACCTGCTCCTCCTGCGAGTTTTGTCTGTTTCCCCTAAGCCTGGCCACCTTCTCCTCTCCAGCCAGAGCTCTGTCAATGACTGTGGATCAGGCAGAATCCTCCCAGGAATTGAGGCCTGGCCATGACTGCAGAGATGTTGGCAAGAGAGATCCAGATGAATGACTAGGGGTACCTTTGAGCTTTGGGGGTCTAAGTAACAGCTAACTAAACAGTGCTGTGTTTAGTTGCAAGAGAACCTAGGAAGGATAGGAATGGAGATGATATTGAATGCTGGGGCTTTCTAGGGTTAAGGACACTAGGCAGCTGTGAGTTCAGAGTCAGCCAGGGTGAGCTGGGGGCCACACAGATTGAGAGATGAGGTTTTGAACTAGCTGCCACCAGCTGGTTCCAGCAAACAGGATGGTTCTCATAGCCTAGCGCCAAGGCAGCACCCAAGAAACAAGCCAGTGGCTAGAGTGTGAAAGCAAAAGCCCAGGGAGCAGTGTCAAGAACGCCTCAGGCAGTGACAATGACCCCCTGCATGCATCTTTCCAGCATCAAGGATGCCTCTCACTAGCTCACAGCCAGCATCTGGAGGCAAGACACTGAGCAAGGAAGACAGCATGATACAGAGGACAGAAGGCATTCTCCCAGATGTGGTAACCTGAGGAGAGGTTCCATTCTCATCTCTCAAGGAGAGAAGCCACCAGCTCTGCCTATGTTTTTTTGTTGCCACCAGCTCCAAGGTGTTCTGTTGACCTTTCTAAGGGCAGAAACGTGGTACTTACTGTAATCTTCCATCTCGATTTTCCGGTACTCGATTTTAGGCATCTGCCGATCACTGATGGCCTTCTGCACATGCTCATTTGCTTCCAGGTCAAAAATTTCTGGAAAGGGCAAAACAAAGACACATTGGATTCTTGGACCTATGTGGGCTGTAGGTTCTCACATGTCTTCCCCACTGCTTCGCAGGAACATCCCCGGAGGTTGCTTGCCACTGCACAGAGCGAGAAGATGAGTTACCAGATAGCTCATTTGAGCCCCATGATTCTAACTTCAAATCAGGAACAGGGGCACATCAGAGTACATCTCTGCACTCGATCCTCCCACCTCCTCCTCTGTACACGTCTGTTCTCCCGACATGTGTCATTGGTATGACCCATTCTAAGTCTGTTAGGTTTAGGAAAAAGTTATCTGTGGGGAAAAATCGCCACCATGACCAGGTGATGACAGTGGAGAAGTCACTGGCTGTCGCTTCTATCAGCCACCCCACGCCCAGATTTCTTACTTTAACCTATGAGTTATCTGGTCTTTAGAGACTTGGAGTTGGTGACCATAGCCAGAGATAGCAAAGTCCTTTTGCAACTTGAGGGCCTGGCTTCTCTCATGCAGGTTGTCTGCTTAGGGTAACTGCACTGTGACTAATCAGCACGGCTCTTCAGGGCTTCTCAGGATACAACACACAAACTCCCTGTCGACAGTTTCTTGAGCTAGAATGGAGAAAGCCTGTTTTGTTCACCTGCTGAAATGGCTGTGAGACCCTATTTTGCCATCTCATATGTAATAAATACACTGGGCTTCCTCTCCTCTCCTCTCCTCTCCTCTCCTCTCCTCTCCTCTCCTCTCCTCTCCTCTCCTCTCCTCTCCTCTCCTCTCCTCTCCTCTCCTCTCTTCTCTTTGTGTTTGTTTTTTTGAGACAGGGTTTCTCTGTGTAGTCCTGGCTGTCCTGGAACCCACTCTGTAGATCAGGCTGGCCCCAAACTCACAGAGATTCACCTGCCTCTTCTTCCCAAGTGCTGGGATTAAAGGCGCATGCCACCAATACCTGAGTGCTTCTTTTCTTTCCTTAAGGTTACATGTATGGTCGGCTTGTGGCTCAATGTAAAAGGGAACTCTGTCTTCAGGGGATTCTGCCTTTAGCTTGTCCAGTTTCCCAGAAGGCTGGAATTGGGAAACGTTTTAAAGTCCTATGAAGAGTGCTGGTGTCTCTTATGACTCCTTTACAAAGACACTGCCCCACAGGCATGGTTCTCAAAGGCATCAGTGGTTAACTCATGGCTCCAGTGATCACTGATTTTATTTTTGGGTGACACACAGCAGTGGGTGTCTCTAGGATCATCACCATCCACAGAAGCAGGAATGGTGCCCTCCTGGGGAGGTGGGGCACTGGAGTTTTCCTGTGCCTGTGATGAGCTGATAAGCTGCTGGAAATGATTGGCAAGCTACCAGCCACATGTGACCATTCAGCTCTGACTTTCACCTTAGACAGCCGCCAACCCTGGGTTTCTGCCTAAGGCTTTCCCTTGTTCCCCGGGTGGCCTTTTGCTACCCCTCCAGGACAGTCACAAAGGAAACAGGACTAAGAGATCCTCCAGGAGTCTTAGGAAGCCTAAGGCTCTGTGAGGTCTCAGAGTTCAGGATGCCTGAGGACATAGGGCTGACAGTTAACCATCTCCTGCTCTATGTCTGACATCAACAACACAATGAAAGCAAGCATTCAGGAAACCGAGTGTAGAGTCTTGGGTGTTTGAAAGACTAATTATGTATGGGGGTTACTATTCTATGATGGCCAGGATTCTGACCCCATTCACCGATAGCCCCAGACCCAAGCTTAGTGTAAGAATCAGGGCCCAGACCTTAAGATGCTGTCTCAATGCTTCAGCACATGGAGGTCCCTTATAATCCATGGACTGGCTGGTTTTATGGCCACTAAATACAAGCTAGTGTCATGTGGGACCAGGAAACCTCAGTGGAGAGAGGGTAAGTCTCCATAGTATTGGCCTGTAGGCAAGTCTGTAGTGCATTCTCTTGGCTGATCATTGCAGTGGGAGGGCCCAGCTCATTATGGGTGGTGACACCCTGGGCCGGTGGTCCTGGGTTCTATAGAGTATAGACTGAGCAAGCCACGAGGAACAAGCCAGTACTCAGCTCTTCTCAATGGCCACTGCTTCAGTTCCTGCCCTGAGTTCCCAGGATGAGCTATATGATGAAATAAACCCTTTCCTCTCCAAGTTGCTTTTGGCCATGGTGTTTTATCCCAGCTCTAAGACAACCTGGGAAGAGCCCTTCCATTGCCACCACTCTGCCTGAAACTGTGATTGACCTAGGCGTGGCATAGGAAAGGGGCCTGGAGCGGGTGAATACGGGTTGGCTGTAAACATGGGAGCACATGGGTATTGGTACAATCAGCAAAGGCCCAACAAAGATGGGTACATGGATCTCACTCAGATTCTGCCACCAGGGCACTATGGGAACTTCATTTATGAAAGCGGGTAAGCACCAGGACCAATTCAGAGCCCCTCACGATTGGCCCACCTCTCTTTACATCTGTCTGATTGGTATGAACTGGTTCTAACGGGACTCTACAGTCTTACATGGTGTTCTGGATGGAGAGGTGCAAACTCAGATCACCAGTGTGTGCAGTTGCCCTCCCGGCTCAGCTTTCCCAGAGTGAATGCAGACACAGCCAAATACCCATCACCCACGCCGGGCCCTGGCAGGTCTGGCCTTGTGTGGGGCGTAGCAAGTTCTAATCGCTCACTGACTATTCAGGCTGCCTTTGAATAGCTCCCTCCTCTCTATTGAAATCCTACCTTCTGCAGAAGAGCACCAAAGCAACAGACTATTAAATTTAGTTAAATATTAGATTTCTCGTTTAATGATTGCCCACGCAGTCGGGTTTATCAGCAGAGAACTGGTGGTCTCACGGGGGAGCTGGGTTCAGCTAGTTTATTTGTTTCCCTAATTGCATTCAAAGAGGGCAGGAGCTCAGAGGAGAAATAAGAAAAGATCGGTGCATTCCCCCAGGACTCTGCCTTTGACTTCGGGGCAGCAGGGACCTCCGGGCTGCAGCACACACATGGCCACTCCTTAATTAAATGTGAGCACCTCTAATATTTGGTGGAATTAGCTATTATCAGATCTGGACACAGTGAGCCCACAGAGACAGATGGCTGCTCAGGAAGCCACTCCCGGGATTGTGTGGCCTGCGGGCTGTTCTCACGTGGCCCTGGGGCTTGGAGCGTTCACCCCTACGCCGCACCATTGGAAAGCTGGTGACCAGACTGCAAAGGAAACCAAGCAACTGATCTGGAGGGGAAGGGAGCTGCCTGGTCCTTGGCTTGTGGTTTCTTTTCTGTAGGCTATGACTCCCCAGGCTGTGAGTAGACAGACAGATGTACACAGTGCTTCTCTAGCAGCTCTGGTCAGGCAGCACCCCGCCTCCACCCACTGCTCTTCACTGGCTTTTTTTTATGGCTCCCCCATGCATCATTCTTCTCTGTCCTTGCTCTTTTGCCGCAGAGGCCACCCATAAACCCTGGGCTACATCCCTCAGCTAACTCAAAGAGCAGACCCAGAAGAATAAAGGCTTTTCAGCTTTCTCCCCTCAACTGGATCTCTTTTCACTCTGAGCCCGCTAGGCTTCCTTGCTACAGTAAGTTTGACAGCTTGTGACCGAGGGACTGTTCTTTGGCCATGACTCTCACTGAGTCCCTGGATAGATGCTGAGCATCTTGAAGGCAGGATTCAGATAGGTGGTCTTATTGCTAGCCTCTCCAGCATCGTGCTGGACTTTGTGCTGGGCTGCTGTGCATGTCTGACACTCGGGGGCACTATGTTCATGAAGGGCTATGCTGTGGTTGGCACACTGGTCAACTGCTGGTGCTTCAGGGGGAGCCCCGAGAGGTGCTTGCAGGAAGTGAGGTCTCTGGGTCTCCCCTGGTTCTCTCTGTAGACACCTGAGGGTATGGATACCATGCATCTGGCTTATGCTCCTTCACTTGGCCTTTATTACGTACCAGCTTGTTGATCCAAGACTCTGTAATGGGACCTCAAAGCTGGCCATTGGCTCTTCCCAGAAGGTTGCTGTGTGCACCTCTGGGGTCCAGAAGACTTTTTACAATGAACAGAAGGTTTTGTGGATTGACTCCTCGGTCTCTGCCTCATGTGTTTGTTCCCACGTCCATCAAGGCCTCATACATGACCAAAACAAACCTTTTGAGTACCTTATCTTGGATCTCCTGCCAGCAGGTGGACTTCACATTGATGACCTGGGACCACTGCATTGACATAGACAACTCCTGGTGATGGGCAAGGACTTTTTGGCAACACGGAAGGGTTGTAGCCCTTTGGCATCAGCAAAACTGCCAAGGGATATGACTAAGCTTGAAATAAATTCTCCTCTAATTGTAGGAGGTAGATAGGCTGTTATTTTTTTTTTTTTTTTGGTATATACATAGTGGAAGGAGTTTTAAAAAGGTGGAGGGAGCTGGAGAGATGGCTCAGAGGTTAGGAGCACTGGCTCCTCTCCCAGGGGACTCAGATTCTCAGCACCCACAAGTGTCTCACAAGTGTAACTCAATTTCAGAGGACCCAATGCCCTCTTTTGGCCTCTGAAGGCATCTGTGCATCCAAGGCACAGAAACATATGCAGAAAAAAACACCTGCACACGGAAAACAAAATTAAACCAAATGGTGGAGTTACTAGAACCCTTCTCTTCCACCTACTCCAGTGCTTTTGGGACACCTTCGCAAACAAAGGGTCCAGTTACCACAGAAGTGGGAGAATACACACATCGTCTCTCACAGATGTGTTCGGGCTGGAAGAAGTACCATCCATACACCACAGCTGCGTCACTGCGGTAGTTCACCCCCATTACACTAGGGGCGGCAGCGGTGTGTGATGTGGACACGCGACAGTTCCTCATGGCTTTACGGACACCGCGACTGTAAAAGCTCTTCAATGACTTCGCGCCTGTGCGACACTGGCACAGAAGTCTAGGGGAGGCAGGGGAATGTTAGCAGTAGTAAACACTGAAAAGAAGGATGCAAACTTTCTGCTGTTGAAGAAGAAATGGTCTAAGACTGTTGGAAGGGATGAGGGCAG